TCAGGATGTTGTTCAAGAGTTTCACAGATCAAAATCTGCCTGGCAACAAGATCACCAAATGAGGGGGTCAGAACGAGGTCAACAAACCAACCAAGGAAGGAGGATGGACAGCATGGATGACGTCAGATCATTTGCATGACTCTTATTATAAATTCGCTGTGAAGAGGAAACTGGGGGTTCCGGCTTCCTGCAGCAGCTATACACTATACTTCTGTGTGTGATAGGGCTTCAGATAGAAATGGAATCCAGAGCTCTGTATTGCTTTTCTTGAATATTGTAATAAATATCTCAAAAGACAGATTTGCTTTTGAGCATTCTTCATAAAAGAACATGCAAGGACTGGTTTAGTCCAACAGGCTCCATTCTTCTGTTCAACACCCATACGCTCCCATTAGCAGACGACACACAGATTTATATAACAGTACTTTCAGGTTACTATGATCCCATACAGGAACTGAGTAGGTGATACTCTGATCAGTTGACAAGTCAGTGATCAGATGTGCTAAAATTTCCCCAAATGAATCAAAATAATTATGTTTGTACCCAGAGAAGAATGATGGTCTGAGACAGGTCTGCTCACTGTCCCCAGAATCCAAACTACACCTGCAGCATTCGGTTTTTATGTCTCTGAGTGACCTTCCAGAAAACCTGAGATCTGCTACAGGGCTGAAGAATTTTGGTACTGTACTTTATTCAATAAAGTTTAGGACTTTTTATTCATATCATGCTCTTTTAGCTTCATGTCATCTTTTATTTTATTTTACTCTTTTAAATCCTATTTGAATATTTATTTTTAGATTGCTTTTTTGTTTTCTGTCTTTTATATCTGTTAAACTGTAAGGTACTCTGAATTTTCTTCTTGTCCAAAGATGCTGTACAATAAACCCACCTTGGCTTGAGCATAGTAAGTTTTCAGGGTAACATTGTCAGTTAATTCAATCAGTGCTAATATTATTTATTTTGAAATTCTGACATACTACCAGTAATGTTAATGGTACTTCATAGATGATATTTATAATTACAGTGTAATTTGCAGTAGACTAAAACAGTGATTCCTAACCAGGGGTACATGGCCTCAGCTAATAGTCAGACAACACATAAATTATGATTTGGTTTAAAAAATCAAAAAAAGTTGTTTGTAATTGTCACAACATCTAATGATATGTGAAAATGTAAAATGTGAAAAGTTGTGAGCAAGATCTAAAAATGATGCCTGAAGATAAATTGGTGGTAGTTTAAATACAATATCTTCTACAAAATCTTCTGAAAGCCTTCCCTTGGAGCAGGATGAGGGGAATTTGAGCCTGAAATGTCTGTTTGTATCAAGCAGACTATAAAAGTTTGGGAACCACTAAGTGGAGTGAATCAATTCCCGGTGGTGTTAACATTAAAATGGTAAAATGTTCATTTGCTGGGTAAAACAGTTTTTATTTCTTTATAAAGTTTTATGAAAACTTGATTCATTATCTTCTGTAGATATTAAATATACAATTTTAAGTATTAAATATTATTTTCATCTCAGATGAAATGACTTTAAAATAAAATGTCGATGAAAATGCATAAAATACTTGATTCATAGATGCAAAGGTCTTCTGTCAGGTAAACAGATAATAATGAAGGTTTGTTGTGTTTAATTTATGAAAACTAAAAGGTTAAAGGTTTTTGTCAAAATGAGCTAAAATTTACTGAAAACATCACAGATCCACAAAGAGATGTTAAGAAGAAAATGGGCTGCTGATGCATTGCTGCTTTATATTCAAGAAAATATTTGTTTCCTGTATCAAACCCCAGCAGTAGCTCAGTATTAATGTAAGAAATATACTTACCTATTTCTTGATAGGCCATCTTTGTCTTGTGAAAGCAGCTCAGGATGTATTGTCACTCTTGTCTTGTTCTGACTATATTTAATGTCCATGGCATCATTATATATTATAGCCTGCTTCTAGTTCCCACCCCTAAGACACACACCATCTGTTCCTAGCTGACAGCTGGCCAGTCACAAGTCAAATGTGGCTGAAAGCAGCAAATCAGGGGGCTGAGCAAAAATGCATCTAGCAGAGTAAGTCACCCATGTCAATTTAAAAAACTGACATCATAAATCACCACAGCAGAACACAAACCATCAACTTTGTTACATAGATAAGTAAAGGAGTTCAGAAGAAAAGTGTCCCAGGGCCATATGGAAGTTCCGAATCAAAGAAATAGTTTGACATTTTGTGAAGTACACCACCAACACCCCCAAGCCCCCCTTGGCTAATCTGTAATTCAAACACTGGTCTACAGGTAACAAAAAAAAAATTGCCTATCATCAACAAATTTTTTAGTTTTTAGGGGGTTATTTGTTAGACTTTTTCTTAGCTGGAGGCAGTGATATCATTAAGGCTCTGCTGGGTGCCTGTCAACCTCTGTCATAACAATACTCCTGGAATTGAGCTCTGCTAGTTAGTATATTAATTATTTAGGTGTGTACAAATGTCAAACACAATGAACACCCATGCTGAAAACCTCTAGAACTAACTAGAACTCTTATGGGCATCATGCTCTCTCTTCCAAGTCTCAAAAAGACTGTTAGGCTGCATTCAGTTTCAAAGGTGTGAAAACAATGCAGTCCCGTCCATTCATTTCTATGGGAGACTGCATTCACCGGAGCCATGAACAGCACTACAGAGTTCTCCAGCAAAACGACACCACCCCAAGCAGCAAAAAAGTTGAATCGGGCTGAATTTTTTTTTTGCACTGCACAGTGACACCATCCAGCAAGATGCTGCATGGATCAGTCACGTATGGGGTCAGTCGAAAGGAAGAATGCTTTTTTGTGTGCCGTGTTTGCATGAACATTCACAGATATTCACTCTCATATTTGGGCCACAGTCACAAACGAACTATAACGACACACCATGTGTTTTTGTTTGTTAGGTTATTGGATGTTAAACATTGCTTTTTATTTATCAGTGCACTGTGCACAATAGTGACACACTGGTAGTAGAAATTGGTGCTGATGTAAAGTATACTACATTAGCTACGTAACCAAAACACACCAGAAACTTGTGAGATGGATCAATTGGCTGAAGCCAATATTTGGAAGAGCAGAAAAGAAGCTCTTTTTCTTGAAGGAGATTTGCTGTGAGACAGCAGTTAAATTGTTGTTCTCTTTGACCTAGCACCATATATAAGGTAGTGAATATACACTGCTCAAAAAAATAAAGGGAACACAAAAATAAGACATCCGAGACATGATGTCCCAGATGTGCTCAATTGGCTCGAGGTCTGGGGAATGGGTGGGCCAGTCCATAGCATCAATGCCTTCGTCTTGCAGGAACTGCTGACACACTCCAGCCCCATGAG